GGGCGGGGAGCAGCGCGGGCCGGCAGGGCTCCCGGGAGGCGGCACGGGATGGTGGCACGGGGAGAAGCACGATGGAGGGCGGGCCGAGCAGGATGCAGCTCTCTTTGGCTGCGCATCATCGCACTGACGGCTCTGATGGACCTTGGAGCTAGGCAATGCCAGCAGCTGAAGCGGCAGGACCGGGAGGGGAAATAAGGACGATACTAAGTTAGAGTCCACGGCCAGTCTGAAAGATGTCTGATGGTCAGCATCATCCCTGTAGGACACAGGCTTTGCAGTCAGAGCAGGCCTGACTGTGAGTCTTCCCTCTCACCTAGGCGACACGGGCTGTGAATCCACTGGTGTCTAAAATGAGTAAAACCCATATGCAGGTCGTCTGTGAGCACCAGAAGAGCCCCTATTGTCTAGTAGGAACTCGTGACCCTTCTTTTGCCTTAAGATTGATCTTTTATGTATAGTATTTTTTGGTGGTACCGGGGATCGAACTCAGGACCTTGCCCTTGTGAGGCAGGATTGAGCTAAAAATCCTTGCCCCTTTATTTTATTTTTTTTTGAGAGAGGACCTTATATTTAGTTTAGACTGGTCTGGACTCACTGTGTAACCCAGGGTGGCCTCAACTCGAGGCTGTTCTCCTGCCTCAGCCTCGTGAGTGCTAGGATTACAGGCATGCACCACCATTCTTGGCTTGACTCTCTGTAGTATTGTCATCAGAGACTTACTGTTCAAATTCTCAGCACCCCTCCTGTTGCATTAGGTAGGCTGGGTGCCTCAAGATTGTTAGACGACTACCAAAAGTTGTTGGGTAGATGGGCAGTCATCCTTCTTGCTTATCCATTTGATTGGTGGCATTAGAAACTGCATGGGACTCATGTGTTTCACATGGGACTCATGTGTTTCACTATTTCCAGAGGGCTTTTAGTTTACTAGGGGAGGTTCTATGCCTGTGTAGGTGATACACACGCAGAGGGACAGATTTAGAACATTGGAGTTGCAGGGGTCAGGGAGCTCTCAGTGGAGTGCAGCATTAGAGCTATGTTGGAAAGAGGTGGTTTTGAGGATGCCGGTTGTGGCAGGAGTAAGGAAGAAACTTGATATTTTGTGTGCAGGCAATAAAAAGATGAGGTTTAAGGGAAGACCAGGAAACAGCAAGAAGTCCAGAGTGAGTGGAATATACAGCAAGTGAGAAGGGAGCTGTGAGTTATCAGAGGGGTCCTGAACATCAGACTAGAGCTCCTGTAGGCTTTGGAGAGTCAGTGATGCTAAAGAAAGCCCTAGCCAGATAACGTGTTTTGAAAAGTATTATCTGGCAGGGGAAAGTTTGAAGTGGGGGAAGATTAGAGGTAGGAAGGGCTAACTTGAATACCAGCTGTGGTGGAAGTTATGGTCTTAGAGGGGACATCTGAAAGAATCAGTAGTACCTTCTGGCAATGCAGAGAAGCCTGAAGAAGAAAGTAAAGGTATGTGATGGTGCCTGCTTGATGCCTGGGATGGCACTGCTGTTAACAGCCAGAACAGCCCAAAGAGGATGCAGTTTCATTAGAAGAGGAGCTCAGTTTGGGCCTGGTTGAACGTAGAGGGTTCAGAGGCTCAGAGGCTCAGAGGCTCAGCAGGTTGTTGGAAATGTGGGGCTGGAACTTGGGAGGAGGGAGGAGGTATATGAAGGCCTGGGTAATTATTTGGAGAAGTGGAACAGCCTTGGGTTGGGGGTGGGAGGCCTGGTAACCTGTGAGCATATTGAAACATTTTGGGAGGCAGAAAATAGCCAGTAGTAGCGTTTGAGAGTGTAGTCCACTACCACCAGAATCTCTGGAGGTTCCTAAAGTGTTAGAAAAAGAAATTATGACTGGGGTGGAGGAAAGCACACAGAAGCAGGGTCACCCAGATAACAGGTATCTTTGGGGCATGCAGTGCCACTGGCTTCACTACCCGCTCAGACATTGGGCCTGCCCGGGACGCAAATGATCCTGTGGATGATCGCCATGCACCACCAGGCAAAAGAACTGTGGGGGACCAGATGAAGAAAAACCAGGCTGCCGATGATGATGATGAGGATCTGAATGACACCAACTATGATGAGGTGATTTTTGTTGGGCTTCTGTGGATACACTTCTGACAGTCTCCAGAAGGGTTTAAGGAGCAGTAAAAATCTAAAGAAATGAGCGCTTTTATTCTCCTCAAGAGAGCTGTATTTGTAGCACAGGGATGCCACATCGGGGTTTTATGTTGGCTGACCTCTGATGATGGTGCTAATGCTTTTAGCTTTAGGGCTAGAGATTTAGCTCAGTGGTTTGGTGGCCTGCTGGTGTTTACCTTCTTAGTTCATTGATTTAGTCAAACAAAGCTTTCTTAGATGTCTTCTATCATGGTAACTTTCCTCTGAGGAAAAAAATTTTCTTTTTTGGTATGTGGTATTGAACCTGAGGCCTTCTGCACTGAATTATATCCCCAGTACCACCCCCTTTTTTGGAGACAGTTCAGTTTGGGCTGGCCTTGAACTCACTATATAGCCTAGCTAGCCTTGAACTCACAGTCATCTTCCTACTTCAGCTTCTCAAGTGCTGGGATTACAGGCATATGCCACCATGCCTGGCTTGCCCTTTTTTATTTTTTGTTTTGAAACAGGGTCTCACTGAGTTGTCGAGTCTGCACTTGAATTTGTAATCCTCCTGTGTCAGCCTCACAGAGTGCTGGGATTATAGGCTTGTACCGCCATGCCTAGCTGGCAAAAAATGTTTTAAAGAATTTTTTTTTTAAAGAATTTTAATTTTGAAATTGTTTTTAACTTGCAAAAGTAGTACCAACAAAAGTTCAGAAAAAAGTTCTGCATACCTTTTACCAAGCTTCCTCCCATCTTACGTGACCTTAGTACAATTGTCAAAATCTTGAAAGAGTGGTTGACACCATGTTTTTCACTTATTATCGATTTCTTTTGCTAGCATTGGAGATTGAATTTAGGAGTTTGTTGTGCATGCTAGGCAAGCAGTCTAATACTGAGCTACATTTCCAGCCCTTTTTATTTTTTGAGACAGCCTAAGTTGCTTAGGCTGGACTTGAACTTGCAGCCTTCTGATTTAGCTGGGGTACCAGGCATGCGTCACTGAGCCTGGCTTCATCTGTGGTTCTTATTTGAATTTTACAGTGTTTCCATGAATGTCCTTTTTCAGGCATAGGACATAGTCCAGAATTCTCCATCAGGTTTTGTTTTGCCTTCTAGTCCTTTCTGACAAGATGGCTTCTTTTTTTATGGGGTAGGGAGTTATCAGGAATCGAACTTAGGTCCTTGCACTTGCTAGGCAGGAGGCACCTTATGGCTGAGCCCCACACACCACCCCCATCAAACTCAGGACCTTGTGCTTGGAAGGCAAGTGGTGCCACTGAGCTAAATCCCCAGCCCTATTTATTTATTTTTTAAGACAGAGTTTCCCTATGTAGCTAAGGCTGGTCTTAAACTCACTGTGTAACCCAAGCTGGCCTTGAACTCACAGCAATCCTTCTGTCTTAGTCTCCTGAGTGCTAGGATTACAGATGGGCTCACCATGCCTGGCAGTTCCTTTTGTCTTTCACACCCTTGGTACATGGAGGATATTGATCAATTGAAGAATGGCCTTCAGCTAGGGTTTGTCTGATAAAAAGCATAATTAACAGGTAATTTACAGCTGGATATGTTCAGTTTGTGTTGGTAGGAGCTATGTGGGAGGGAAAGTGGACCCTTTAAATGTGTTTTGTTCTTAGTTTAATGGTTATGCTGGGAGCCTTTTCTCTAGTGGACCTTATGAAAAAGATGATGAAGAAGCAGATGCTATTTATGCAGCTCTGGATAAAAGGATGGATGAAAGAAGGAAAGAAAGAAGGTAAATTGCTGCTTTTCACATTATGTTTTATGTAGGATTTGGTTTCTTGTTTGTTTGTTTGTTTGTTTTCGTGGTGCTGGGCATTGAAACTAGGACCTTTGCAATGAACTATATCCCCAGACCTTTTAATTTTTTTACTTTGAGACGGTCTCACTAAGTTGTGCAGGTAGGAATTGAACTCGTGATCTTCCTGCCTCAGCTCTCAGAGTGTTGATTATAGGGATGCTGCCCTGTGCCTGTTTTTTTTTTGTTTGTTTGTTTGTTTTTGAGACAGAAGCTGGGTGTGATAGTGTATGCCTGTAATCCCAGCACTCAGGATGCTGAGGCAGGAAGATCACTGTGAGTTTAAGGCCAGCCTGGGCTACCTAGTGAGACCATGTTCTAAAAAGCCAGAAAAAAGCCAGTCACTGTGAACATCTCTGTTCCCAGTGCTTGGGAGTGAGGCAGGAGTGTCACTGCCAGTTTGAGGACAACCTGGGATACACAGTGAGAACTTGTCTCAAACAAAAAAACTTTTTTTTTCTTTTAAACTTTTTATTTTGAAAACTTCCACAATGTAAACAAATAAATAGTGGGAGAAAAGGGCACCTGGTTCAATCAGTTGCTGTTGTTCAGTTCTGGAGTGTTTGTATTGTGTTTCTTCTTGAAGTGAAATAATATAATTTAATTTTTTGAAATAGAGTCTTTGAGTAGCACTCTACCCACAAAGTTCAACATTGCTATTGATTTTAACCTATTTTCTTTGTTTAGTTGATAATTTTAGTAACAAGTTTTTAGTGATAAATACATTATTTGGCTTTTGAAAAAAAAAAAAGAATTGTACAGCGACTCCCATTCTTATTCTCTTCAATTATTCCTAATGTCCATATTTTTTTCATCTAGAAGTGTTTTGCTGGGTCATTTCTAGGGCCCATTTCCCACATGGGCCTGGTACCACATGAATCCCAGTTCTGTTGCCTAACAGCAGCTCCCTAGAATATCCTAAAACTGCTTTTTCCGTGGGCTGGGGATTTAGCTCAGTGGTTCCATTGCCTGCCTTGCAAGTGCAAAGACCCGAGTTTGATCCCTGATACCAAAAAAAAAAAAAAAACCCCAAAAATCCTGCTTTTTCCTAAGCCAAGTTCAGATAGAGTCACTTCTAAGGTTTAATCTCCTCAGACTTTTAATTTAGAATAGTTCCCCACCTCCTGCCTCTTTAACCTTTCATGACATTGATTTTGAAGAGATCAGGTTTTTTGTAGAACAGTTTGAATTATTGTTCCAATTTTAGTATGTGTGCTGCCAAAGTGAGCACAGATTTGAATTGTTGATTGGCCACCTGTTTCCTCAGGGTATCCTTTAGTTATTCTGGTGTGTGTGGGGGTGGTGGTGCTGGGGTTTAAACCCAAGGTCACTCTATTACTGAACTATACCCCCAGCCCTTTTTAAAAAAAATTTATATTTTTGGTTTTCTTGAGAAAGGGTCTTGCTATACAGTCCAGGCTGGCCTTGAACTCAATTTGTAGCCAAGGTAGTTTGAGCCCTGGTACCAAAAAAAAAAAAATGTAGCCATGGCTGACCTTGAACTCTTGAGCCTTCCCAGTGTTGGGATTATAGGAATGTGTTGTCACACCTGGCTTTATTTTTTATTTTGAGACAGCGTCTCAAAATAAGATGCCCAGGCTTACATCAAACTTGTGATTCTGCCTCAGCCTCTCAAGTAGAAGGCCACTGTGCCCAGCGTTTGTTCTTATTTCCTGTGGAGTGGAGGCTAGACCTGAGACTTTGTTGGAAACCTGATGGATGTAGCTGTGTGCATTTCTTCACATCAGGAGCCATGGTGCCAGCCACATCACTTCTTGAAATCTCGATCTTGGGCCAGGGATTTAGCACAGTGGTTTCACCACCTGCTTCTCAAGTGTAAGGTCCCAAGTTCAGTCCCTGGTACCAACAAAAACCCCCCAAAACAAGGGCTGAGGATTTCGTTCTGCTGCCTGCCTTGCAAGCACAAGGATCTGAGTTCAATCCCCAGTGCCAAAAAAGAAACAGAAGAAATCTTGATCTTTCAGAGCACATCATTTATATAATACGTCTTCAGTTTTTTTTCTTCTTTTTTCAATGCTGGAGATTGAACCAAAGACCTCATGAATGCTAGAAAAGTGCTCTGTCATTGAGCTACATTCCCAGACCATTTCTAATACATTCAGATTCCTACCTGTGGATGTTCTCCTTTTGCATTATAAAGAAAATTTTAGGGCTGGGGATTTAGCTCAGCCTTGCAAACACAAGGACCCGAGTTCAATCCCCGGTATCAAAAAAAAAAAGAAAAAAGAAAAGAAAAATTTTAAGTTTCAGTATTTAGATTTAGAAAATATTAACTACTTGGTTCATGCCGATTCCTGGTAAGTTAACACGGTTGGTTCTGTGTCCCAGTTTGCAGTTACTATGTGCAGCATAGCCTAGGCCTGGTCACCCATCACCCTGCACCCATGAGGAACAGTTGTGCAGATGATGATATAAGACATTTGCCCAGGCAGATGGGAGGGAGAAGCTGAGCAATGGCTTCCTATTCGTTAGGGATGAACAGTTCACTTGGAAGAGAGGGAAGCTGATAGGTAAGTAGAGGGCTAGAAGAGAACTGAGATGATGTTTTTCACTTTTCTTTCTGAGGTGGTTATTCCTAGGATGGCCCTACTTGTAGGTTTTTGTGAAGTGTAAAGCAGCACATATACTGTACTTGTGTTCGAAGGGAAGCGTTTATAGATAGTCCCCAATTTAGTAGTTTAACTCGTAATTTTTCAACTTTATAACTGTGTGAGAGTGATACACATTCGGTAGAATACTACGTTCAGTCGTATTCAGTGATACATGTTCAGTGGATGCACATTCAGCTACATCTGTCATGGTTTTGATTTTTTTTTTTTTTTTGATCATGCTTTTGAATTTTGATCTTTTCTGCCTCAAGTGAGATTGTCTCTTGAGATACTAGGCATTGACAGTGATGTAGCATGTAGTGAGCCATGCAGTCATGAGGGTAAACATTGCCTTGCACCCCTGTACTGTGCAGCTAAGCTGTGATATTCACTAGGTTGGGTGCTTCTTTTGGTACTAGGAATGGAATGCAGGACTTTGTACTTGCCAGGCAGATATGGTACATTTTCAGTTTGGGCCATATAGTGTTTAGCTTATGATAGGTTCATTGTGATATAAAGGAATATCTTTTTATTTTATTTAATTTCTGCCTGTTTTAATTTGGTAGATAATTGAACTATTAGATTTATGAATGTGGCCAGGGATTTAGCTCAGTGGTTCTGCCACCTGCTTCACAAACAAGTTCCTGAGTTTGATCCCCGGTACAAAAAAAAAAAAAAATTTATGAATGTATCCATGGTTATCTTAAAATATACTCCTCAAGCAATTATTATTTTTTTAAAATCTTAAAATATACTTGAGTTAGCTGCTGATGTGGAATTGTTTGTTTTTTTAATATAATTAAGACATGTAACAAACCATCTTTATTTGAAATGAACATTCAGTATTTCTAAGAGGCACATGTTTTATTTCCTAGAGAACAAAGGGAGAAAGAAGAGATTGAGAAATACAGAATGGAACGCCCCAAAATCCAGCAACAGTTCTCAGATCTCAAAGTAAGCACATAGAAGGAGTGTCTTCCCCAGCACTCCACAGAGCTGGGACCCAGCCGAGAGCCTCACACGTTAGGCAGGTCTCTGCCATTGAGATACATTCCCAGTCCTGTTGTATTGTTTTGGATGTATGTAGGTACATATTTATTTTTGAGGTGAGAGCTCACCGTGTTCTCCAGGTTGGTCTCTAACTCCTGGGCTCAAATGATCCTCCTGGGCTGGGGATTTAACTCAGTGGTTCCTGCTGCCTGCCTTGCAAGTGCACGGTCCTGAGTTTGGGCTGTGTGTTTCCAGAGGAAGCTGGCAGAGGTCACAGAAGAAGAATGGTTGAGCATCCCGGAGGTCGGCGATGCCAGAAACAAACGTCAGCGAAATCCACGTTATGAGAAGCTGACCCCTGTCCCTGATAGTTTTTTCGCCAAACATTTACAGACAGGAGAGAACCATACTTCTGTGGATCCCCGGCAAACTGTAAGCATCCAGAAAGAAGGTGAATGGGGCTCCTGGGTTTGGTTAGACATGTCACAGCAGGAACAGTGGGCAGGGTTGAGGTGAGCACTTCTGCAGTTCTGTGCTGCTGTCTCCAAGTCTGCCTTCACAGCTGCGCCTGTGTGAGGAGAATTCCACAGAAGAAAATACAAGAGCATTTTATTGTTCCCTCAGCAATTTGGAGGTCTGAACACGCCCTATCCAGGTGGGCTGAACACCCCATACCCAGGTGGAATGACACCGGGCTTGATGACACCTGGCACGGGGGAGCTGGACATGAGGAAGATTGGGCAAGCGAGGAATACGCTGATGGACATGAGGTTGAGCCAGGTGAGAGTTTGTCATGAGCATTTTCCAATAGATGGCACTGAATGTTTTTATGTCTGATTATAAAATTTAGTATATTTGTTTAAAAAAACACAACAAGGGCCGGGGATTTAGCTCAGTGGCACTGAGTTTGCCTTGCAAGCGCAAGGTCCTGAGTTTGGTCCCCAGTACCGGAAAAAAAAAAAAAAACCAACAACACACAACAGAAGCCAGTCATGGTGGCACATGCCTGTAATCCCAGCAATTGGGAGGCTGAGGCAAGAGGACTGCTCTGAGTTTGAGGCCAGCCTGAGCTACAACATGAGCTCAGGGTCAGCCTGGATTACATAGTGATCCTGCAAAATTACATAGTGATTACTGCAAAATAAAAAAGAATCATGTTTTCTTCTGTACAACAGTAAGTTGTTGTGTGGCTCTGTGGGGAATTGGCATTTGGTTCCAGATATTGGCTGTTGGAACCCGGAAAAATAGAGAACTCTTTCTGACTTTTTTTTTTGTACCAGGTATCGAAATCAGGTCCTTGTGCTTGTGAGGCAGGCAGCAGAACCACTGAGCTAAATCCCTGGCCCTCTTTCTGACTTTACATACGCATCTGAACCATAACAATGCTTTTACATTTGTTTACAGTGAAATTGGTATATTGGTAAACTCTTATTTTATTTGGTCTTTCACTGTACTTTTTGAAATTTTATAGCTAACATTTTAAGGAAAACTAACCAGATGTCTACTTTATACCTTATAAATTGAGAGTAGTTTGTTGATGTGCATTGTGACAACCTGAGTTGGACCCTTGGAATTTTCCCACTTTTTTTTACTCTTACAAACTGTGCTTTGATGATTTATCAGGGTTCTGTGCATGTACATTTAGGTAAACACTTTAGGGTTGTTTTAACCTGATTGCTGCCTTTGTTGCCTGTTGTGTTTATTTCTGTTTCAGACTTACTTGTGGGATGTAATGTTATTTTAACAAACCTGCTTCATGGTAGTTTTTTATGTTAAAATGAATACAGCCCAGAATTAACTTTTTTTTTTTTCAGTGCTAGGGCTTGAATTCATGATTGTATGCTTGCTAGGCAAGTAACTATACCCAGCTCCAGGACAGTCTCCGTCTCCGTCTCTCTCTCTGCCTCCCTCCCTCCCTCTCTCTTTCGCTCTTTCTCTCTCCCTCCTCTCTTTTGTACCAGGTTGAACTCAGGACCCTGAGCTTGTGCAGCGCCACTGAGCCTTCTTTATTTGAGGTGGAGTTTTTTTGTTTGTTTGTTTTTGTTTTGTTTTTTTGAGACAGGGTCTCACTATGTAGTTGAGACCCTGGAACTGTGTAGTCCAGGTTGATTTTGAACTCGAAGTGATCTTCCCGCCTCAGCCTCCCAAGTGCTGGGATTATAGGTGTGCGCCACCATGCCTGGCTTAGTGAGTTTCATTTTTTAACATAAATCTTTTCTATATAGAAGAAATTTATCATCACATACTGTTGTCTAAACTTAATTCGCTTTCCTTTTTACATTTTTAAAAAACTTATTTTGAGACAGGGTCTCTTAAGTTGCTACGTTGCCCATGCTGAACTTCAACTTGTGATCTTTCTGCCTCAGCCTCTCAGAATGCTGGCATTACAAACGTGCGCTACCACACCTGCCTTGTTTTCCTTTCTTCTGACTATTTTCTGGTGGACAGGGTATGGAAAGAGTTTCCAGGGACCCTGTGAATACTTTGTTTTGGACATTCCTGGTCATACCCAGCTCATTTTCAGCCTGACCTGTTTTGCAGGTGTCTGACTCTGTGAGTGGACAAACTGTTGTGGACCCCAAAGGCTATCTGACAGATCTAAACTCTATGATCCCGACCCATGGAGGGGACATCAAGTGAGTGCTTTTCAGAATTGATAGGTTGGAGTAGGAATTCTAGTTTCTTAGAGTGTTTTGGATTTTATTTGGAAAATGCATTCAAAATATGACATAAGCTGGGTTTGGTAGCACACACCTGTGATCTCAGTACTTAGAAAGCTGAGGCAGGAGGTTCACCACAAGTTTGAGATCAGCCTGGACTACATAGTGAGTTCAAGACCAACTTAGGGACATAGCAAGACTCTGTCTTTAAAAAAAAATAGAATCACTTGCTTAGGAGTTTGAGACCAGCCTGGACACTGTAGTGGAACTCTGTCTCAAAAAACGAAAGCTGGGGGTGTAGCTTAGTAGGACACTCACCTAGTATATGCGAGGCCCTAGGTTCAGTCCCTAGTAACTGCCAAAAAGAAAAGGTAGATATTCTGAGAAATGTAGTAGTTTGATCTCTGTCTTTCTCTTGAGACAGGATCTTGTGATATAGTCCAGGCTGGCCTGGAATTGCTGTGTAGCAATGTCTCACCTCCATTTCATGACCCTCCTGCCTCATCTCCTGAGTGCTGGGCATACAAATGTGTACCACTGTGCCTGTCTTTGGTATTTACTTACTTATTTATTCATTTATTTGTGGTACCAGGGATCTAACTTGGGACTTTAAAGTTGCAAGACTGGTGGCTTGGTTTTCTATTTAAAATGTATCTCTCTCCATTTATTGTGAATGTTAAATGTTTTACAAATAATTAAAGCTTATGACTGTACTGAGCTAGAAAGTAGCCTACTAAATGTTGTGGACCTTTGGTGTTCAGATTTTGTTTTCGGGGGTTCTAAACAGTCTTGGAACAGTGCTGACAAGGTTTTGAGTTGTCGGTATCCCTGCTAATTGAATCTACAGTTTGTATAGTGTATGTGGGGCACCTCTTTCCTGGGTCCTGGGCACATCCTGCTAGTGTGGCGTGATGCTGTGTACATTCTCACTCACTCATACAGTGATATCAAGAAGGCACGACTGCTCCTCAAGTCTGTTCGAGAGACAAATCCTCATCACCCCCCAGCCTGGATTGCCTCTGCACGCCTGGAGGAAGTCACTGGGAAGCTGCAAGTAGCTCGGAATCTTATTATGAAGGGGACAGAGATGTGTCCCAAGGTGAAGCTCGTGGTGCCCCTGTGGAACCCTTATTGCCAGGCGGGATACTAATGTTTGACTTTGATGTTGTAACTACAGATGGTAGGACAGGCTAAGAGAAACTGAGCAATGGGAGAGGGCTTGTTTTCACCTGGAACGAAGGTTGAGCCACCATTATTTTAAAGGCAAGGTAACTTGTACCAGAAAGCTAAATTGGGTAATTTACTCTGTGTAATGTTAAGAAGCCACAAGATTAGTGCTTAACTCTTAGGAAAATATTCAGTTCATGGTGTTTTGGAGATGGAATGATTAGACAGTCTTAAAAAGTACTGTGAGCCAGGCGTGGTGGCACATACCTGTAATTGCAGCACTCGGGAGGCTGAGGCATGAGGGTTGCTGTGAGTTCGAGACCAACCTGGGCTACGTAGTGCGTTCCAGGTCAGCCTGAACTATGTAGTGATACCCTGTCTCAAAAAACAAAAAAACCCCCAAAAAACTATGAAATCCTTTATGTGCTCATTTACTTCAGTGTGCAAACTCATCACTTTTTTGGGGGCGATGTCTGGGGTTCAAACTCAGGACCATGCACTTGTGAGGCAGGTGTGGTGCCACTGAGCTAAATCCCTGGCTCTGGGCACTCTTGATAGTAAAAGAAATTATAAAGAATTACCCTGGGATATTAGGCCAAATCATAACTTTCTAATCAAGTATATTGTCTCCACTTTGCTGGTGACTTAGCTTACAGGCCAAATTATATTCTCTTCTCCAAGATACAATCTTTTCTTCATTCAGACATGCAGTAGCCACATTTCTGAGCCTTAGTACTGTGAAAGCTGTTTGTTTATGGCCAAGATGGTTGACTCTATAATCTGGGGCTCAAGTACCTGCTAGTCCTTTGTGGTTCCTAGTCTGTACATACCCTTACTGGTCTTTTCTCTTGCACCAGAGTGAAGATGTCTGGCTAGAAGCAGCCAGGTTGCAGCCTGGGGACACAGCTAAGGCCGTTGTGGCCCAGGCTGTCCGTCATCTTCCACAGTCTGTTAGGATTTACATCAGAGCAGCAGAGCTAGAAACAGACATTCGAGCAAAGAAGCGGGTTCTTCGGAAAGGTGAGCCTCCCAGGTGAAAGGCGAGTTTCCCTTGGGGCTGCCATCAGCAAACAGGTGCCCGTGTGCCATGTGTCCTGTGGAGGTGTGCATTCTTGATTCCTGTGGGGCTGTACTCTTAGAAAGCAGCTTCTCTGTTTCTTGGCTCATTCTTTTGGTTGAGAGTATTTAAGGAGTTGATGACATTTTGTAGCCTTTTCCCAGGCTGGATTGCTTCTGCCCTGGGATCCTCCACAGTGGAAAGACACTGTGATAAAGAGAATTCCCACTCTGGCTGGTTGAGACTACTCCTGCCTTTCTCCAGTTCCAGACCCTTGTCTGGGATCTGGGGGCTGAATTGGATGCCTGTGGAAAGGAGTGTGCTAAGATGTGTACTTGGCTGTGATGTGAGGGATGCCTACAGGATAGTATGCCACTTGGCATAGTCTGAATGACCAGCTGGCTGGTCACACACAATTGTGAGGAGATTGCATTCCTTCCTGTGCTGACTGGAAGTCCTGCAAGGCAGACTATGTCATTAGCCATCATCTTGTCAATCAAGGGAGAGCTTTCGCAGACAGTTTTTTTTCCTTAGGGTGGAATTCATTAAAAAAATACTTTCCCTCCTCCGGATCTTGTTATAAATGCTGCTTTGAACTTTGTTTCAGAGCAGATGCTAATCAGAGACCAAATCTGCAGTAGACAGGATAGGTGGCTAGTTCTGGCCTGAACCTAGCTGTCAGGTCTGCTTGTGGAATCAAGGGGTCTTGGGCAAGAGGTTTCTAGTTCTCCTTTTAAAGATGTCTGTGAGCAGAAAATCAGATAGAATGTGTCACTTTGGGGCTAGTATGCTGAAGGGCATGCAGATGGGCTTTTGAATAAAATGCCCCTGAGTGAATCTAGTTTCTGCTCATTTCCTGTTGGTGTTTGTGAGTGGCTAGGGAATGTGTTGTATACGTGGCTCATATTCCGTAGTTCGCCCTGAGTGTGAGACCTTATGCATTCCCTCATGTTTGCCTCTGTCAGGTCTGGTTTCTTGTGTGTAGTCCCGTGACCCATTGAATGCTCATTTAATCTCATAAGAAGCAGGAAGTTAATGGCCAACAGTGTAATGGCCAGGAGCAGACAGCACCTGTTTCCTTTTTTTTTTTGGTTTTTTGAGACAGGGTCTCACTATGTAGTTGAGACTGACCTGGAACTCACAGTGTAGCCCATGGTGCTTTCGAACTCACAGCGATCCTCTTGCCTCAGCCTCCTGAGTGCTGGGATTATAGGCGTGCGCCACCATGCCCAGCTTTGGAACTATTTATTTAGGGAAACTCTTACTGAATGTCCCCTGCCATACTGATGATCTTGAATGTCTTTGTGGCCACACCTCCTGTTCACCACTAGATTGTTTGGGTTTTTCCAGTTGGTTTAGGATTTGGGGAGGGGGCTTTGTTTGTGGAGATAAGGGCCTGCAGAGGATTGTTGAGTGATTACCTTTTCAGGGCCCTCCTGGGCCTTGTGGGCAGGGACCTCTCAGGCAGAGACACTGTGCTAAGGTGAAGGTATTTGGAATCAGCAGGCTGGCCTTCACTGCTGCTTCCTAATCTGGCCCTGCCTTTCCCATCCCTTAGAAAGTTTTTGGAAATAGCATTATTTTTGGGGGGGATGCCTGAAGCAGAACCTGGGGTTGCTGTACTGAATTATTGTGAGCCTTTGAAAAACAGGCATTCCTGGAAGAGCCTGGCTTTGAAACTGAGGTAACAGCTACCTCTGCCACTGCCTCGGGATCACCTGCCTGCCCTCTGGGTCTGATAGGCCATGTCTCTGTGAACTCTGAGTCATAGTTGGTCAGAGCTGATGTCCTAGTACTTTGTTTGGATACTTTGAAGAGTAGAAGTTTTGGGAGTTGGTTTAATGCCAGCAAAGGCTGAGTGACCTTGGGTATGTTTTGACCTCTGAGCTTCATTGTCTTCATCTGTAAAGGGGGATAGTTTTTTCAGGATGGGGAGGTGAGTGCCCCGGAGGGACTGGGGCCATTGGCTGTTTCCTTTTCACTCTTCCTGAGGTAACTTGGCTAACAGTGTGCGGTGTGTATAGAATACTATGCCACTCTGCTGATTAACACAGATATATGAATGTGGAATTATTTTTATACTAGAATCATATACTCTGGTCCCTAAAGCATGGCAGCTTCTAGTGACCATTACTAATGTGTCCTCCAGGAGCAGAAGGGTAGTACAGCCCTAAGTGAACTGTGGGCTGTCCTCCCTGTAGGGTCCAGTGGCCACAGAAGATCCCGTCAGCTGCTGCATAGTCATGTCTTCATAGTACTGTTCTTGTGCTTAGAACACTCTCCTGCTCTTTCCCCACGCCTGGCCCACTTTGGGGTATGTGCTTCTTGTGTGTGTGTGACTGAGCTACAGTGCTTCCTGTGCTGCTGCCACCGTGGTCACTCTTCTCTGAAGTGGCCCTGCATGATGTGCTTGACCTCTGAGCTGGTCAGTACTAAGTTGGTCAGCAAATATTTGGTTTTAGAACTTCTGTTGTGGGCTATTGACAAAAGAAATAATAGTCAGGTGCTGGCTGTTTCCCAGAGGGTGGGGACATAGGGCCTTGGGGGTCATTGCACCTTCTGTGGGTGAAGTTAATGACTTCAGTCTCACTGAGAATCCCTGTATGTTAGAGACTAAACGAAGAAGTGTGCCTCCACCAGTATACCAATAATGGGGAGAAGTAGTTATATGTAGACAACACTCCCCTAACCCACTGTGTGGAGAGCACACGGGAGGAGAGGTACACAGTTCCGTGCACTGCTTTTGTGCCACCTACTAGAGGTAGGACTGTCTCTCTGTCTGTATGTCATTTTTCATTATTGAGGATTACACCTCAGGCCACATGCATGGTAGGTAAGCACTCTGTATTGATGAGCTACATCCCTAGCTCTTTTTATTTGAGACAGGGTTTTGCTAAGTTCCCTAGGCTGACCTTGAACTTGTGATCCTCTAGGCATGGGACTTTCCCATTGCTGTGCCCTCTGCTATCACCTTACCAGGTCCACACTCTTTACCTGGATGAGTGACCCAGACCTTTAACTCCAGAGTTTGAATCTGTGGTACTTCTGCCTTTTTTGGGTGCTATAGGCCCATTAACTTTTTTTTTTTTTTTTTTTTTTTTACACGTACTGCACGTTTAATTTTTTTTTTTTTTTTTTTTTTTGGTACCAGGGATCAAATTTAGGACCTTGTATTTGTGAGGCAGGCATGGCACCACTGAGCTAAATCCCTGGCCCTAGGCCCAGTAACTTTTATACTAGGAATGGAAATACTAAACCAAGACAACCATCTAGGTTCTAGACATAGTTTCTCCAGTGTATAGTGGCAGCTTGGTATTATCCCTAGAGTCACGGTTGGTCACTGTAGTCAGGGCTGGGGCACAAGGAGGCCAGTGGGGGACAGTGACCACCTCATTTGTCATAGAGTAGAAACATGGCTACGTGCCTTGGTTGACCCATCTTGCTTTAGGACTAGGCCTCCCAGTGGGTAGAACAATGCGTGGAAATGGCCTGCGGGAGCCCCTCTGCCAGTACTGTGCGGGTTGGTGTGTGTGCACAGCCCTTAGCAGGGAGTGAGCACTTGCCTAAGGGAGGTGAACTGAAAGCAGCTTGCCCCTTGCCACCAACTGAGCATCACCTGACAGACCCAGCCTCAAGGGCAGTTGTGTGAAGCAGGGCCCTCCTCGGGTGGAAGTGGCACAGAGAAGACAGGGAAGGAGCCAAAGCAGGCAGCTGCCTGAGCCACAGGCAAATGCTTCCCAGAGCTGAGGCTGCTCAACTCCCACCTCCCTTGGCCTATGTTCATGGCTCTAGAGAGTGTTTGGGGGCCAAAGGACTGAGAAGGGAAGCATACTGGAGTTTACACAGCTCTGCGTAGCAAACTGGCACCAGCAGCCCTGACCTGGGGTTTGGTTATCACTAGTCATTCACTGGGTCAACTGAAAGACAGCCAGAAAGCAATCTACAGAGATTCATGGGAGACATGGCCTTTCATCACCTTTTAGTCTGAGTAGGGGCCTGGCAGAACATAGGACGCCTTCTGAGCATGGGAGGGCTGGCTGAGGGAACGCCTTTGCAGGAGGGGAAGTCCAGACCATGGCACCCCACAGAATTCCCCTGAGGACAGGTCCTTGGGGTTTGTAGGATATGTTTCCCGATCTCAGGCCTTCATGTCTCAGGGTGCCTGGAGTGGAGCAGTCTGGTCTGGCTTGGTCATAGGAGAAGGAAAGGAGTACCTGCAAAGGAGAAGGAAAGGAGTACCTGCAAAGGCAGCCGTGCTATTGGGTTTCTTTCTTTTTTGGTACTGGGGATTGAACTTGGGACCTTGCACTTTGTGTTTGTTTTTGTTTTTGGTACTGGGGATTGAACTCGGGTCTTTGCACTTGCAAGGCAGGTGGCAGAACAACTGAACTAAATCCCCAGCCCTGGGACCTTGCGCTTTTAAGGCAGGCAGTGGCACCACTGAGCTAAATCCCTGACCCTTCTTCTTCTTCTTTTTTTTTTTTTTTTTTTGGTACTAGGGATTGAACTCGGGTCCTTGTTTGTTTTTGGTTTTTTTGTTGTTGTTGTTTTTTTTTAGACAGGGTCTCACTATGTAGTTGAGACTGACCTGGAACTCACTCTGTAGTCCAGGCTGGTTTTGAACTCACAGCGATCCTCCTGCCTCAGCCTCTCAAGTGCTGGGATTACAGGCATGCGCCACCAAGCCTGGCTTTTTCTTTTTTTCAGATAGGGTCTTCTACGTAGTTCATCTGGCCTTGAACTCACTCTGTAGCCTAGGCTGGTGTTGAGCTTGTGGTGATCCACCTGCCTCAGCCTTCTAGGGACTGGGATTACAGGCGTGTGCCACCATGCCAGGCTTCTTGCTGAGTTTTCAAAGATACTTGGAGGAGTGAAGCCCTGTGTCCTACACACAGGGAGGCATTTGGTGCTGTCTGAGCATTCTCATAGGGACTTGGCCAGGCTGCATCTGGCTTTGCCAAACCTCCTTAGATTGTTTATTCTATTAATTTCACAAGAGAAGGTTTGTGAGTCTGCACCTTTTGCAACATTAAATCATAGGTCTGTTTTCAGCAAGATTGGCCCATGAGTTTATAAGAAATGAGATCCTCTGGGTCTGCCTTGGAAGCATTCTGATTTTCCTTTTGGAGACAAGGTCTCACTTTGTAGTTCAGGCTGGCCTTGAATTCACTTTGTAGCCCAGACTATGCTCTTAATTCATAGTGATCCTCCTGCCTCGGCCTCCAGAGTAGCTAAGACTACAAGTATATGCCACCCTTTGTTCTTGGCTGCTGTTGCCGCTGCCCTGTTCCTCCCCTCCCCTCTCCTCCCCTCTCCTCTTGAATTTTCTTTTCCTCCCCGCATCCCCCAGCTCTGTCACTGGTTTTTTGTTTGAGACAGGGTCTCTGTATCTCAGATGGGCCTTGATAGCACTGTCTAGCCCAGCCTGGCCTGGAACTTGCAGCATATTTCCTGCCTCAGCTTCCCATTTGCTGGGATTACAGACACAGGGCACCACGCCCAGCTATCCTCAGTGGTTTTCGCAAAGCAATTTCCATGATATTTTAGCACGTTCTTCCAAAAAGAGTAGAGTCATATTTTATGGATAATTAAAATACCATGGCACATTTATAGTAGTTATACTGTAACAGGTATATTTTAATAGCACTGTTGTGGAGAGTTCAAATTTCCTCACTTGTCAGCACACCTCAGACCCGTGTGTATGTGCACAGATGTGTACATGGTTGGAGAGTCAGGCTGTGGACAAGTCTGAGCATTGCCATTTGTTTTTTGTTGTTGTTTTCTCTCTCCCTCCCTACCTCTCTTTTTCTTCTTTTTGAGACAGGGCTTTGTTGTGTAATCCAGGCTGGCCTCAAACTCCCAGCTGTCCTGCCTCAGACTCCTGAGTGCTGGGATTACAGGCGTGTACACTGTCATTTGTTTGGTCTATCTTTTCTTGATTCTTTGAAGGAGTTGGGCTGGTTCTCCTAAATGTTTCACCAACTGGAGTTACGAGAATTTTTTAAGTGGGTCCTTCGTTTCTTGAGTTCTCTTGTTAATTGGAGGATAACCTGGAGGAGCAGTCAGAATGGGGTTGATTTGGGCACACAAGTGCTGGTGGCAGTGCATCAGGAGGCACAGAGGCCCTCTTGGCTCCCCGGTTGTAAGATGAGTGAGGGTGGTGAGGGGCCTGTCTGGGTCTCTTGTGGCTTCGAGTAGGATGATGACCCCCACACACTGCATGCTTCATGTTCCCAGAGTATACAGTGGTGCTGTTGCAATCTTCTTACTCTTTTTGCTTTGCTCGCCAGAATTCTTCTAGAGAACTTTCTTCTGTCAGTATTGACTTCTCTGAGGTTACTCAAGAAGACATAGATGCTTGCTTTCTTTCTCCTTATTTGCCAGCTTTTAGAATAAGCAGTTGGCTCTCTAGCATTCTCCAGAGGTGACAGATGGTATTTATGTATTTAGGATCCCTCCCTCCCTCCCTCTCTTCCTC